TTTTTTTTTTTTTTTTTTTTTTGACCAGTTAAAAAAAAAATAGGAACATCCATCTTCTGAGCCTGAACTGGAGAGTAGGAGGTAGCCTATAACTGAATATAAGGGGAGGCTCCACCCAACATGGGTACCTCAGTCAGGCTGTAGTTATATAAACGGGTAGGGCCTTCATAAGTTTATTTTGCTATTTAAAAGACTCTTTCAAAACATCTAAAACTGGAAAGGACCCACATGTAACAGCTTATTCACCTAAGTATTTTTCTGGGTTATAGAACACAAGCCAGTAGAAAGAGAATTAAGTGTGCCTACAGTGTGTGGTACCATTTTCTATGGAAAGTGTGTAAAAGGCCTATAACTTTTTTTGTCAAAAAAGAAACATAAAAAAAGTTAGGAAAGGTGGACCTGCAGTGGTTTTATCAACATTGTAATTAGGAAGCCAGGGCAACCAGTTTTCACAGGCAGGGGGAGCATTTTGAACTGATATTCTTTATAAGAAAAACTTTCCTCTAGATGGTCAAGCGGGCAAGTGGGCAAAAATAATCCTTTCAGCCAGTCAATTTGCCTGGTACCCAGCCATTAATGAAATTCCTGTACCTCCCAGTGAAGCCCCCTTGTAGTCGTGGTTTCAACTGGAAGGTTATCAGTTTTCAGTCTTTTGCAGTTTGCAAGTGTTCTACTTGAGTTAATTATAATGGTATATTTTAAGGCGCTAGAAAGCCAGGCAGTATTGCTCTTCTAGCAACTTCAAATAATTATTAAATTGTTAATATTATCAATTATTAATATTAATTATAATTAGTAAATTATCTCATGTTGTATAAGTGCCATGTAGCTTTCTCATTTTGTCTCATGATTTCTTATTTCATCACGCACAAGACAGGCTCTCTATTAGCACAGAATTCTCATCGTAACATCTATTCTTTACACCACTTTCAAATCTAACCTAACGTATATACACAACAAACTCAAGTAATTTGAAAGCCTTATTAGGGGTTTTTCCAACCCATCACCCCCTAGGGATTATAGACAAAAGTGATTAGGGGTTTTTGGGATATGGGATATGGGACCTGGGATCAATATTAAGATCGCATAAAACAAGATATCCTGAAGGAAAATCATTTTTGCAACTTGAGTTTAAGGGATATATATATGATATGTGGGATATTCAGATCCCTCTAATGGGGCCTCAGTTTTGACATATCCAAACAGATCAGCAACTAACCTTCCCCTGAAAATATCAACATAACTACTCACATAATTTTACAACTACACCCAGTATTAACCCGTCATTATAAAAAGGTGAAACATAGCACTTTTGGCAGGGATTGAAAAGTTACTATGACGATAATGCAGAGTTACTGACTACAATAAATGGCCTAATTTTGAAATTTTCTCCACAAAAACCCTGAATTTAAACATCTACATGTTAAGTCATTGATTCATGCTGATTCGTGGCTAGCACTCTTCCAGACAATTCCATGAAAATAGAACCTGATAAGCTATAATTTTCCACTTTTTGGCAGGAATTGTCAAGAATTGCTGTCATTTCTGTACAAAAAGAAACCCATTATTATGGTGACCATACATTAATATTATAATACCTTTAAAAATGTCCCGTGAAGCCCCATGGCTGCCCCAAGGAATTCCCCATTTTGACCTCTGTTTCAGTCATTTGTACACTTAAGGGATGTTTTTTGTATTAGTTGTGAACAGGGGATTTGTTTTTCTCACTTCTGGAATGATTTTAAAAGGAATTGAGGAAAAGAATACATTGCCATCATTTGCCGTAAATGTCAACTCTCCACTTGGAGAAATCCCACCATTTTTTTAAGCGATATCGAGAGGGAGACTGGAAAGAGCCAATCAGCGAGTAGACGCCTTGCGCATGTTTTTCAAACGAAGACTGCGAGACGAGCTGCGATGATTGTTTCTGAAAGAGCTTTTGAGTTTTGTTTTACTTTGGATTTACGTTTCGGTCATTAAGAGGGATTTTTCTCTATTTCTTGGTCTTTCTTTTCTTTTCAGGACTGTTTTGTCCGATCGGTGATTCAATTTTCTGGCGTTGACGCACTGACGTGTTTTTTTGCTTTGTACATCACGTTCGTTGTTCAACTTCAATCAGCTTCAATTCTGTACGTGATCCAGGAATATTCTGGCATTTATAAGCTGGATTTATAAGTTGCGTGATTGTGGTTCCCATCGAGGTACCACTGACGATCATTATGTTCCCGGCCTTTGTCTTGTCTTCTTGGGTCTACCTTCTTTGGTGATCGATTGTGGACCCTTCGTCAGCGAAGTCGACATTTAATTGTTTCCGTCTATTATTATTATTCTGGTTATGTCAGTGGAGGGCTTACTAAAAACGATCGCTTCGATCTAGGATGTCCTTATTCAAACATGTGCGAACTCGCCAAGTTAGCAAAACATTCCTTAATGAATCGTTTGTGACGGATCTCACATCACGACACATACCTGCCTTGTTGAAAGAAAGAGAACTTTCATTGGGAAGGACAGATAAAGTTTTCGCATCACAGTGGCTAGACGACAAGAAAGTAGTTTGTGGTACAAAATCAAATGAGGTGAGACGTCCAAATTCTCCTTTCTCAGATTACTAGAGGAGATGTAGTCGTGTTGACTTTGTACTGAATGTAATTTACGTGCACTGTGTACAATGAATGTTGTCATCGATCAAGAATTCTTTTCTTGTACGAAATTTTTGTACTGTAAACATTGACGACATGACATGATGCAATATACCAGCCGAAGCTGGGCTATACAATCAGGCCTCATGTGTTAACATGGCTACTTGCAACCTCTTCTCGTCAAACACCTAAACACAAATGCAAAGTGTATCTGCCTTTGGAATGTTTGATGACAACAAGTAGAGAGACCCCTTGTTGCTGAACTTAGCAATTCAAACTGGTGGATAATGTTATCCATTGAATAGATCACTGTCCAGTGAATAAATGTTGAGGAAACAAATTGTGCTATCCACTGGTTAGTGATTCATCTAGTGCATAGCTAGAAAGCACGCAAAGGGAACAAAACTGCAAGCGAGTGTGAAAAATAAGGAGAAGGGGGACAGGGTGAGACAAGGGAAGGGAAGGAAAAAAGATTCCTTTTCTCCCCACCACTTCCCCTTCTCGCTCACTCCCTCCCCACTTCTCCCCATTTTTTGCTCACCCCAGGCAAGCGTATTCACTCACTTGTTCGATATCTTCGCCTGGAAAAGAAAATGTCATCTACACAGGCTAGTGAATAGCATAATTTGTGTTGTTAACACTTATACAGTGGATAGTATTATTCATTTTTTTAACAACTTGGGCCTGGTCTATTGGAGGATAATCCTTTAGACTGAAAAAAAATATCCAAAACATGAACATTGGGCAGAGAAGCAAAATTGTCAAAATCAAAATTTTGGTATGAAATTGAACACATTTGAGTGCAGTGTATTTGTCTGTAGACAACTTGGCTCAAGAATAGGCAGATTCCCAAAGTGAAGCAAGAAAACCACTTTGAGCTTTCAAGAACAGAGATGTTCGAGGGCAAATTTTAGTTGGTAGACTCTACAAGTACCCAGTACTGCCCACTTTAAAATGTGGATGTCCTTCAGTCTACAAGTACTTTAAATTTTCAGTAGAAGTTCCTGGGGGTCGGGTACCTGGCAAATTGACCGGCTGTGAGAATAATTTTGCCCACCTGGTTTGACCATCTAAGGAAAGTTTTTCTTATATCAGAAGTTTAGTTCAAATAGTTTTGCCTACCTGTGAAAACCAGTTGCAGTCCTGCTGAAAAAGTTAATGAAATCCTTGAATTCCCTGTTGTCTCTAGTTAGGAGAATATTGAATATTGAATTTTGGGGGACTGGCTTCAGTGTCACTAACTTTATTTTATCCTGCCAGTCTTGCAACAGATTACATGGTGTATGTCCTCTTGAAAGCAAATACTTTCAGCACACATTCTGGTTAATTCATTAATACTAAACATTGGTCAATTCTCTTAATAGCTTCTTGTGCTGGACATGTTATCAGACAGGAGTTTCTCCATTCCTGTTTTGGAGGGAAGCCCTAACAGTGAGATTCCTGAATCCAACTGTGGAATACACAGTATAAGAATAAGTCCTGCAAGAACATTGTTAGCTACAAGTGGTCAAAACCCAAATCATTTGGCAGTGTACAGATTACCAACATTTGATCCAATGTGTGTAGGGGAGGTATGTTCTGTATATTATCATTAAACTGATTGTTATATTACCTATATATAATTTGATCCACCTTTTGCATTGATCTTCACACCAGGTCCCGTAACAACCTTGTCACTTTGTGGATGAATTGTCTCAATGAAAGGCAATTTCACCCATAACATCACAGACCTGCCAAGCATACCCAGTCCTAACAGGGTTACAGCCCTTAATGGCAGCCCTGGTACATGTAGCTCCACTGATCCATTTTACAAAGCTAAAAACTAACTTAAAGCTAAGAGCCTCAGTTCCTTTATTCTAAGATCAAGAAGATCTAAGACCTTTAGTTTAAAAGTCTTCTATGCTACAATATATCATCCCCAGATCTATTTCTATGTTGTACTTTCCATGTGCAGCTGTATAGAATAAATATTTTTTTATTTTTGACCAGCAGTTATGCAAATTTATTGGAACAAAAGAAAGTGATAACATGAAAAAAGAGTTCAACTCCCATGGGACTGCTTTTGGACACCAACATGGCAGCTGTTTCTTTGTCTTAAGACACCAAAATGGCTGCCATAACATGTAAAAACACTCTGTGCCATGACATTAGGCATTGTCAGTTTAGCCTATATTGGCCTTTTTTTAGTTATGTGATCTGAGGGAGCCAGATGTACATGTAGTCAAGTCTTGAATACCCTGTTAGTAGTAAGTTATGAAAGTTTATAAGCTAAATCATTCTTTTTGCTATCTTCAGGGACATACTGACTGGATATTTTCTGTGGAGTGGATTGATGATTTTCACTTAGCAACAGGTAGAAATAAAGAGTGACTAGAACTAAAATATAATTAGAGCACCAATAAAGTTAGATTATTTTGTTGTCATTATTTACATGCAAGCGTATTTCTGTCTTACTGACTTCCTCTTCTTTGCCAAGTTACAGTTGAAAGAACATTGAAGTAATATTTAAGCCTCGAAAAACTAGAAATATTGTTACAGCCAGTACTATATCCAGGTGAGGTACCCAGGCCCCCAGAATTGGTGAATTGTTTTGAGGCCAAAATTGCAGACTGAGAAGGTTTTCCATTCACATGTTTTTTTTTAAACTTAGACACCAGCTTTTTTACTCTGAGTCCCAATGTTGTACCCAGGTTTTTTTTACCATGCCATAGAAAATACTGCCAATCAGAGCACAAGCAAGCCATTGTATATTCAATGGTATTACATCCTACCTTTCCATCATGTGCCATGTGTTTATCACTGAAACATACTAGCAAAAGTATGGCTCGGTGACATAACAACACAAGTTGACTAGGCTTGCTCAACACAACAACTTTATTCTCTAAGCATCTTGGGTAATACAACAGCTTAACACAACTTCCGGTTACGAATATATTACAGTCACATTTCATTGATTGCATTGGTCACTGTATTAATTTTTCCATGGCATAGTATAAGATAGTTATGCACTCTCTCACATGGTAATCCATGGAATACCTTGCTTGTCACTTGTATTTTCCTGGCACACCTGCATAAAGGCTTGTGTGTATATAGATAACTTGTGGGATATTCCAGGGTGTCTACCACCTGAAAACGTTGCATAACTACTATGTATTTGCTACTGGTATTAACAATGCCCCTCTCATGCAGGATCAAGAGATGGTAGCATTGCATTATGGTGTGTTCAGGATTCAGCCAGCCTTTCAGGAGATAACCAGTTTAAACTTTGTGTCAAATCCCCTGCCAACAAACTCTGCAGTGCTCTACCTCAGGCCTATGGCAAAGACAAGATAAGAGACCTTGTCTATGAGAGAAACTCACAGGTAGGATGATGTGAATTTGTTCAATTTCTTTTCAATTGCAGCTGGATCTAAATTACTTGTTTTCTATGATCTATGTATTGAATCATCTGATTTGTGAGTGTTCTGAACTTGAAATCCAGTGGTTCTCAGGGACAGGGGGGAGAGTCATTCCCTTATATGGTCTATATCTAGGTGCATTTATGTCTGGTAAATGGAAGCCAAGAGTCCATTTCTGAGTTACCTTTCGTCTCTGTGTCCAAATGAGTCTTTGTGCAAAACCATTCAGATGAAAATGAGTTTCACCAACTGGTTCATTTTCTTCCAAAAACTTTGCAGAGTATCTCCAAGGTTTAAGCCCTTTGTCCCATCCACTTTCGTGGTATTGTTCCCAGTTGTCCTGGGCTCCCAACTGCTGCTATGCTTATCAACAAGACTGCCTCCAGTCAGCTGAGATTCTTTTTTTCAATTCATTATAATGCAAATAGCTTTTGTTTCTCAGGATTCAGATTTGGAAAATATATACTATAATATTCAAGAATCAAAAGTTTTCGCTGTTGTCTCTCCACAAGCAACTAAAACCTGGAGAGATACTCTATAAACTACGACAAAATAATATGGGTTGTCGACCAGGCTCAGCCAGGCTTGATACATGTATTGTCCTCATTCTACATGTATGGACCAAGATGAAGTTGAGGTTCATGAATGTGTTCTCTTTAGTATTTTATCCTTGTTTAATCAACAATGGTTGTACATGTATTTTGTTTTCAGACTCTAGTTGCTTTATCTGCACGTGGATATGTACAGCTCTGGGACATGAATACATGCCAAGTGGTAAGACCTTTATAACATAGCAAAACGATAACTAATTTGATTTACGTAGGTTGTCACAAAAAGTGACCTCCTACATTATCTTTATCTTAAGGTGTGAAAGTGTTAACAATTATCGTTACAAAATTTGCTCCTGAGAATAAGGTGTTTGTTATACATTACAGCATGCAAAGGAAATCCTGCCCAGTTTCTCAGGACTAGTACATTTTTTAGTCCGGCTAGTGGATTCTGACGTTCACTTGCTTGATGGGCAAGTGGCATTTCTTTGGAAAATGTTTTGGAAATTTTTTTAGGAAATTCAAATTGTGGACACTGTAGTTTATGTACATATACAGTGTACTGTCAGTAAGGGATGAAATTTTGAGGGGCTTGGGAAAATTTCTTTTAGGGTAGTGCATCATAGTTACAGCTTGCCCACTGTACAAGAATAAGGGTGTATCTTGGGACGAAACAAAAACCACAACCTAAATTTATACTTCCGTGACCAATAGAATCTGGTTTCTGCAGTCTTGAGATCTTGCTTGTGATTGTTTTACCGTTATAACACAGTAACAATTCCAGGCATGCTTAAGGTGTTCATGGTGACTGAGAATTCAATCCGTTTTCCATTCCAGCTTTCAGAAATCACCTGTGATTGTCAATTTGATTTATTATAAAGAGAGAACTGGGTGTGGTTTATACCTATAATGGGATCTGAATTCCTTTTTTTTTCCTTGCTTATTTTAGAAAAGTGCATTCTCACTGAAATATCCCGTGGAAACAGTATGTCTGGCACTGGAAAAAGACAACAAACTGTTTGCGGTTGGCTCTCAGTCACATGTGTCTTTTTACGAACCAAGGTGTGGCACAGCTGTAGGATATATTGGCTCACGTGACCCAGGAGCAGGTGAGTAGGGGAAAGGAGGGTGTCAGAGGGACAGAAGTACCCCTTTGATGCCACATGTCTGAAAACAAACAGTTCGCTGTTTTTCAAGGCCGAAGAAAAATTTTCTTTCTTTTATTCATGTGAGATATCACACGAATGTCTGATGGGGCGGTTTTTCACTTGAGTGTCGAAAAGTAATTGGTTTTGAATTGTTACGCTATGAGTAGGCCACGATTGACTTAAAAAACTCGCGCCACTTTCTCATCCAATCAGAAGTAAAACCAAACCCATTACAAGTGGCCTTTACGCGTTTTCCCGCGCTTAACGCTTCCATTTACTATGAGTTTTGATTGGTTCACTGTCTTGTCTGTGTCCTTTGTGATTGGCTAGAGTGATTACTTTGGTTTTGGTTTTACGAGGATCAATTAATAGCCGTAGTATTGTGAAACTTTGTTTAAATTGTTTTCTTCAAATGTATGTGGTTCTTCACTCTTTGCAGCCATCCCAAAAGCGTCGTTTTGAATATATCACATCAAAGTACCAGACACGATACGACAAACAGCTGAGCGTTACTTTTCTCGCCAAAATGAAACTAGCTCACAGGCATGCGCGCTTGTACTATTGGTAATTCTCGTACCCATATCTTCTCACTCTTCGGAAAAATCTGGGTACAACATTAGGTATTGGTAAATCTCTTACTCGTTGTAGAATCTCTTCGTTCCTAATCATTTAGTTTTGTTGTATTCTCTTCTTAGGTGTGCGTTCTTTGAGTTTCCGGGATCTTCTCTTGACTGTTGGTACAGGTTTTGGGTCTTTGTTCTTCTTTGATATGAGAGCTTATCAGTTCTTGGGACGAGCGGACAACGATGCAATGATTTGCTTCAAGTCAGGAAAAGGCTGGCTGGTAAGAGGAAAATCGTTTTTGTTGATTGGTGAAAACTAACTGAATAGCCAGTGAAGGAAACTCTGTTAATCAAACGACGAAACGTTTTGAACGTACATGTAGGTTGATCAATTATGCTTCAGACATATGAACTAACAGGCAGGCGGACAGATGGGCATGCCGACAGACAGACATAAGACAAATAGACAAGCAGACAGACAAGCAGGCAGGCAGGCAGGCAGACAGACAGACAGACAAGCAAGCAAATAGTCAGAAGAACAGATGGCAGTAACGCTCTCTGACTGACTGACTGACTGACTGACTGACTGACTGACTGACTGGCGGACAGACAGGCCTGCTGAGCGGCTGACTGACTTACACACTGACTGACTGACTGACTGACTGACTAACGGACGAACGGACGGACGGACAGACTGACTGATGGATAGTCAGTCGAACAGTCAGACTGTCACTTCACATTGTAACAACCTATAGTCGATACTCCGTCTTGACGGACATCCTTGGGACTACAGGCTTAATTCTAAACGAGTGCACTGTTTAACGTCAAACGTGTTAACTTTATCTTTTACCCATTTTTTTTTTATGATTTTGATAGAAAGATTTGTAAAATTTTGGTTATTAATTACTGTTGTGATGCGCTTTTGAATATTTTATAGAAAAGGCGCAATACAAATAATAAATGTTATTGTTAAATGTTATTGTTTATGTTTTAGCGTGACGACCCGCAGGATGCATATGACTACATGTTTGAGCACACTCTGGTCTGCCGTAGCAATGCTATTTACACCCATTGTTATGATCCTACTGGAACCAAACTCTTCGCGGCCGGGGGACCACTTTCCCTTGTCTACTACGGTAACTATGCCGCCCTCTGGGAATAACACGGAACCATTGAATTCCTGAAATTGCTAATCCTGCCGCCTCGGTAACAGAATTTTCATCCTACCAGCGTGCACTATGAACTGGGAACAAATGCGTCTTGACTGGAGCCCATCGCACAAAGAAATGCGTCCCTGTTAGACAGAGTGTGAATTTACAATTTACACTAAAATCCGATGGCAGCTTACCATTGCTGTTCAAATTATCTTAATGACCAGTTCCTCCGTAGATGAATTATTGGCAGGAATGGTTGAAACCTCAAGAAATAAGGTTTTAATTATTACACACACCTTAGTCTTATGGGGATTTTTTTCTGAGTACTACATATAGCAGATGAAAGGAACTTGGGTGAAGCTCAGACTCGAAGAAGTGACAACCGTTGAATAAATTTTTGCAGAATTTCTAGACTACAAACAGCCTATTTCCATATTTTTAGTCTTCTTGATATCTTTTCACGTTGCTATTAACCACAGGTAGCCCTGACATGAGATTAGAAGTTGACTGAAAGATAAACTTACCTGTATATCCGATCTGAAACCAAGAAAGCTTCGGACACTGTTCGCATTTTTCGAGAATTTCCGAATGTTCCCGGCAAGTCAGGAACCCTTCGTAAGACCCCCTGTGAATTTATTGTCAATTTCCAAAGGTTAATAAATTCTGAGCAAAGAAATTATCCTAGCAGCTTAAGAAAAATACTGTTATCCTAGTAAATACAGTCTAAATTGTACGATGCTTGCTAGTTAGACTCCTTTCTGGCTCGCATAAAGATAAATTATTGAAATCAATGGCAAATGGAAAACGCCGGTGAATCGAATCATTGATGGGAAATTTCTTTCATTTTGACAAGTTTGTAAAACTGATGATTGATGAAATGGCAAGCACGCCAACGATAATACCAATGTCCTGGCAAAAAACTCTTTGAAGGAGTTATGTCTTTAGAAGGAGTTATGTCTTTAGAAGGAGTTATGTCTTTAGTTATGTCACGACTGGGCTCCCAATAGTGCTTGTCACGCAATCTTCCCTATCTTTGGAGGAGTGCGTAACGGGCCATAATGTCACGATGGGATAAGTCAATTTATTTTCCGATGGGTAGTACCTTAATATTAAAGGGAAATAATAGTTTGCTTAAATAGTAAAATGTCATAAAGTTAACCATGGTTAATGGTCAAATAGGGGAAGATTGGTACAGATCAAAGAAAAAAGATTTGAAAATTTGAATTGGAAAAATTAAGGCGAAATTCATCGTCTTCCATTAAAGCTTCTTTAAATCATCTCTGCTAACATCAACATGTCGGCTGGGAAACGAAATAAATATTACAAATCATCAATTAGATAGGTTATTGAAAAGAAATAAATTACAGTAATATTTTTACTTTGGGAAAATATTTAGTGGTTACCGTTTGAAACAAACGGGAAGTAACCTGAATTGTGAGTTCACGGGAAGAGAGGATATGATTTCCTGATATAGATGAATATCATTAATAGACTGTCAAACAGTCATTATATCTGTTGAGAGGTATTGCTTATGAGAGAACGGTGGCTTCACAGCCTCTCGAGGGCGTCGATGTCTTTTACTGCACCAATACTAGCAGTCATAAAAGCCTCTTCAGTCCCGGAAGCCTCTCTATCATGATAAGCTGTGATTGGTCCATTTGAATTTTTGCGTATGTCATGATCAGGGCCCCTGGTCATGAGTTTTTTGACTGACAGGTAGTCATAAAATGACGTCATCACATCACGTGTCAGTTATACTTACTGCACTTTATTATTTTTATTTCTTTTTTTTTTTTTTTTATCCTCAAATGTTGTTCTTACAGCTGAAAACGAGTTTAAAAAACCGTCAAAAATTTTGGGAGTAAGAAATCGCAGACAAGCTTCCAATGCTTCTTCCATATCAATTGAAGACGTACGCAGCGAGANTTTTTTTTTTTTGCAAATTCTTTATCCTAACAGGACAGTAGAAGCGTGCTGTAATTAATAGACTGATTAGACACCGGTGTATATAATACAAGTTGATAACTTCTTATGTGCATGACTGTTGTATATAAATAAAAATTACATCAGAAATATTGAATTCTAAAGTATATATGTGCGGTTCATAGTGAAGACCCTCGAACCATGTAACACGGAACAATTATTCTTTGAAATCGAGGTAAATATTCTGCCGCCATTCACCGAGATTGAAAAGAGTAATTGCTTTGGTATGTACTCACGAAGTGATCTCAACAATAAACGAAAAGGAAACGGTTAAAAGTCGATATAAGTGACCTCTCAATTCATGCGTGAAAAACGTGCAAGCGGCACGAAGCATGCGTGAAACTATTTACAGAATCTCGACCTTCGATGAAAACCTCGTCACAATTTAGCAACTTGTGCACCGTGCAAATCAGCAATCTTAATCGAAAGTTTGCTTGCAAAACAGTTTCACTGTTAAATCAAAGTTTTCGTTTTCATTTGAAATGAAAATTGAAAGAGCATTTGGCGAAGGAGCAACCTGAAATTATACTGTGTGCGCAGGAATTTGGTGAAAATTGAATGTTTTTCAGGGGCGTTGCTAGGATTTTCAAAGGGATTGGGGGGGGGGGGTTCACACTGTGTCAAAGTGAGGGTACTCACCAGATTGTCGTGCCGTTTTTGCCAACTGTTGTGGGTAGTTTGCTTAAAGAAAGGCTTACAAAAGGGGGGTCACGGGCACCCAGGACCCCCTTGGTACGCCCCTGTTTTCTAGTTTGCACAAAGACATTCTCCTGAATACTTGTGGAGGTGCTTCGTTGAATAGCACCTTATCCCCTGCCGATGAACCCTGCTATATTCATTTCTGCCAATGCCGGGTGAAGAGCGAGTTTGCTAGGTTGATAAAATCTGTGATTGCCAAGGACATGTCCTGAAACTGCTCGAAAGTCGAACGTCAATAAGTCTTTACTGTCTTTTGAAAAACTTTCAAGTCAAATCTCATAGCCTTCCTTGTATTTTCTGGTACAGCATCGTCTTGTATTCTCAGGATTTCCGACTCAGAAACACTGACAAAACGCGAGTTTACGCCTGCCATTTTGTTTTTGTTTGGATCACGTATTATTCACTCAGTAGGGAGTGAATAATAACCTCGATCATTGGATAATCCAATTCAAAAGTTTTCATTGGCCTAGCCATCATGGTATATGAGTTGTTATACCATGCGTTACAAATATGTTAAGCGCACACGTATTTTTATGGGGCGATTTAATTTCTACATTAATTTTCTGTATTTTGAGAGCGTTTTCAAAAAACAATTATTGGCTATTCATCTCGTATCCAACGCGCGCTCGTGGAATAATTGTTCATTGGCCAGATAGCGAACCAATCAGATTGCTTGACAAACCAAGATCACTGAGTGAGTATATGCTAATATGTATATGCAAAATGGCGCGAGAACAAATAAATCGACGAAGCACTGATCGCGCCAATTTTCTCGCGACCAGACTTTGTTCGTTCCCACGGTACTCAGCTGATCGCAGACTTTCACCGCACTGATACGATCACCAACTACAAATAATTAAGTTGAAATTTCAATTAACTTTCAGATCTTGTTATTCACAAGAGTGATCAACTCGAGGCTTCCATTTGCAGCCATCCCCTACGTACCCAAGTTTGATTTCCACTCCCATTTCCTTGTATCTACAAGTATATCTTTTTCTGCGTCACTCACATGATCAGATTCCCGAAAAGGCCTCGTCGTCAGCTAAGGCTGCCTGCGAACGTCTTCACCGAGCTGTGTTTCCATTAACTGCAGTGTCTCATTTTCCAAGTTGTCGCAATTCACCTCGGCTAAATCTGCTTTCTCCGTGTTCGACTACATCTCCAGCTTTTTTTGGTCCAAATATGTTCCTTTCAAGCTTCTCGGCTTGTCCAATAGTTTTCCTCGACAACAACTGAATGAAAGCTACGCGGAAATATCTTATTCTAACAGCGTAAATCAGTGGATTAAACAACGAGTTCAGTACGGGCAATAAAGAAAGAAGATTAAAGATGATATGTTTTACATTAATAGGGATGCTGTCTTCCAAAACCGATATAATAATGACAGCACTGATAATCACCGAGAAATAGCACAGGAAAATTGTGAGCATTACAATAATTGTGCAGCAAAAAGCTTTCTTATTCTTGAGTAACTTCTCCTTCTCTTCTACAGAAACTTGTTTAGCAATAATTTGCTTTTCGTTGCAGCGGACCTCCCTGTATACAGAAACGTTAAAATAAAAGACTAACGCAAGAAAGATAAACTGCATAAAAAGAACTGCAACTTTTGCCACATATTGTATGTTCGCTGGCCAGAAGTCTTCCATCGGAGGGATGATCGCGACAGCCCACGCCAGAGCAGAGGATACGATGATACGAACTTCAGTAACAAGGTTTTCGTATGCGAAAGGGTGTTTTATAGCGAGATAATGCTCCGCACTCAATACAACGAAATGATTAAGCGACGCTATGATACACTTTGTGTTAATAGCCACGGTTATCTTGTGTCTCCCGCCGCACATGCCAGTCTCACCTTTGAGCATAAAGCTATGGCGAACGATTTGCAAAGGTTGAACAACAACTCCAACAATGAGGTCAGTTGTAGCTAAACAGGCGAGTGATACGTTAGATTTGGTGCGAAGTTGACGTTTGGTTTTCACTGCCACCATCACCAAGATGTTCAGCAAAATGACGAAAGGACAGCTTATAGCGTTGACGGCGATTCTGAAGATGAATACAGCGCG